GATGGGCGTTTGATGTAATGGTTAATTGCTCAGAATTGTTTACCGGAGAGCCGAGTTTCAATTCCCGTTTAGTTTGCTATAATCACTCACTTGAGAAAAGCATGAAGCTACCTCTTCCCCCCACATATGGGTTAATTAGTAAGACTTGTATAACTAACCAATTATCACCCCCCCAAATTCTTACAATCTAGAAGTATTTTATGGCATTGGATAACTTGCAAAAGCTTGCTAGAAAATGAATTAATCATTTTATTTTCAGATAGGCAAGTAACACTCTACCAGAAACAAAATAGATTTATGCAGATGGTGCCTTAGCTGAGTATACTAAACGTAACTGGTTCGCTAGATTTAGAATTGTTAATTCTGATCTGTAAAACCGAGAAGGTTTCGGTGGGCCAGCAGGTATTGACAATGACCAGTACAGGTCACATGATACGGAATATCTGGGAGATGCTTCTCGTATATCCTATGGGTGTGGCAATATTTAGATGCTCCACGATTTAAATAAAAATTTTCTAATGGTCCGAATTTCCATCTAAAATTCTTTGATCAGACACAACAAAAAAAAAGACGCATTTTCGAAAAGAACCACCTTAGACAATGAAAAATGTATTGTTTACAACAATGTAAAGAGAAAAAGGTACTGGAGAAAAGGGAAGTGAGTTACCGTTAACCACTTTGTATAAGATGAAATTGGAAGAGCATTGTTTATGATGAGTTTCTTCAATAAATTTATATATTAAAAAGTACTGTACTCAGTTGAATTGATTAAAGCAAGAATCGATGAAAGCCGTCCGAATTTGTCAAAGGATGCCCTATTTCATTCGGACAACGTCAGACTTCAAGTCTCTTTGCAGGATTCAGGTGCAGAGTGTTACAGAATGTGGAAGCAAGGCAAAAAATACTACCATGATAAATGTAGAGAATGTAATTTCAGACTCTGCCTTACTGGTCGGAACAATCCGAACTGAGTTGCGGGTGGTTTGAACCTCGTATGTGTGTCTAATCCTGACAGTGATGGATTGTCTTTGTCTAAAGTTTGATGTAAAACCGAAAATTGTCTGAAAATGAACAGTACGGTTGCGGCAGTAGAGAAGTCGAGATGTTCGATCGGGCATTTTTCTTCCAAGTTGTTTCAGTGTGTGTGGAAGAAGCACAAATCTGCAGCGATTATCACATATTTTGAAGCGATCAGCTAGGGTTAGGGTTATATATATATATATATATATATATATATATATATATATAATGAAAAACAGACCACTTTAAGGTACCATTACAATATTTATTTCACCAAAATCCTTTTAAAGGACTCCGGATCATCAGGTAACAATTCCAACAACGGAATTTCATTGTTGGAAGTGTTACCTGATGATCCGGAGTCCTTCAAAAAGGATTTTGGTGAAATAAATTATTGTAATGGTACATTAAAGTGGCCTTTTTTCATTAAATATTAGCTCTGTATTCACATTGAGCTCTCAGGATTTCATCCTCCTTGGAATTACCCATTCGGTTTACCAAGTTCTTCGTAACTTATATATATATATATATATATATATATATATATATATATATATATATATATCGTCGGTTGCGTGGTGCATGATTCTCCGAGACGTACTGTTGCTTAGGGTATTGTGTGCCCTGTTATTTTGCATTGTGCATTGTTTACTTACACTAAAGTGTATATATATATATATATATATATATATATATTTTTAGTTTATGCAAAACTAGGTAATCCTTATGGGTAGACCCAAGGAGGATGATATCCAGAGAGCTCAATGTAAATTCAGAGCGAATATGTTTGAATAAAACAGACCACTTTAAGGTTCCATGTAATAAGGTATTTCACCACAACCCTTTTAAAGGGCTCTGGATCATCAGACTTTACTTCCAAAGGTTGAATTGAAAATGAAAAGAAACTTACACATTTTTTGGCGGACCTATATATATATATATATATATATATATATATATATATATATATATATATATATATATATAATACTGTTTTACTTACACCAAAGGATACTGCTACTGATACTGTTTTACTTACACCAAAGGATATATATATATATATATATATATATATATATATATATATATATTTTTAAAGATATTTTTGTAGGTACAAAATTTAATTACAGAAATAAAAGTGTGAAGCTTAATATTACCAGACATATCAAAAACGGGCGAAGCAACCGGTTTCGCTCCCACTTCAGGCTTCCACGGGATATATATATATATATATATATATATATATATATATATATATAATTTTATTTAAAATTATAAGAAAAATATGTTATAAAATCTCAACAAAAATAGCCATTTTGTTTCAACACCTCCGGTGTCTTAACAAGTGATGATATTGAATACAATCTACATTCAACATCATCTCTTGATAAGACACCAGAGGTGTTGAAACAAAATGGCTATTTTTGTAGTGATTTTATAACATATTTATGTAATAAATTTTAAATAAATAATTATATTCACTCTACTCTATATTGAGCCCACTTTTAAGAATAGTAATTGTTGGTTATTGGAATTTATTCCGTATACACCAATCATATACTCGTATATATATGTGATGTATGCGAACATTTGAATGTACATTTATCTATTTGATTATGTTTGACCGAGTGGTTAGAACGTTCGCTTTCTGACTATGAATCCCGGGGTTCGAATCTCACCATGGTCGATTTGTCAAGAAGGAGACTTCCTGATGTTATCGGGCTGGAGGA